TATTATCAAACGTTGGGCACCTGCCGTCGCGCAAAGCGCGTCCCTCGCTAGTATATATATATATATATATATATATATATATATAGATTTATGATCAAGTGAGAAAGACATCTTAGGAGAGAAATGAGAATGAATTACATCCCTTAGATTTGATTTTTTTAATCTTCCGTTTCTTTTTTAGTTGAGGACAAATTAGAGATTTGCTTAATCTATTAATGAGAAACGATTCTTTCCATAACTTCTCCCAAAGTTTTTGATACTTTAATTTATTATCTCATGCATGGATTTCAGCACCGTGATTCATCTTCTTTCATACGAAGTATTAACTATAGGAAGCCACAAACGTTAGTGGTGCACAATAAAATCCAAACGATTCTTTCACAAATAGTAACAAAACTTAGAAAATTAATTAAAAAATATTTACTTTTGAAATAGATCATTAAAAGTGCATTCTAAAAAATCAAAGTTTAAATATAAATAAAATATTCATCTAATAATACTCGTTAGTGTTGTTGTTTAACCAAATTGTAGTATTTCTTGCAAACCAACAACATTCTGTGCACTACAAAAACCACGTGTGCACAATTCCTAATTTCAAATGCACTTCAAAAATTATATTAGCATCACAATAAATATGACAATACGCAATAATAATAAATATAATAGTACACTATTCTTTGGACAGGTTCTCTTTACATCCATTTTTATTTGCATTTTAGAAAATTAAATTTTTAATGACGTTTTTTATTGCATCGTGTTGAAAAGAATAATGCACTCTCTTTTTATTTGTATTATGTCAACTTCTTGTGTATAATAGGGAAATACATATATGTGCACTCTCTAAGTGAAAATAATGCACTTTATTTTAGAAAATGTGATATAATAGTGCACTTTTATTTATATTTATAATGAACTTGGTAAAAGTGCATTCATTTTGCAAAAGAGTGTTAATGTATAGTAGGACTTTAGAAACTCTAGTGTAATAATGCACTTTTATATATATATTTAAAATACACATGATAGTTTATAGTTTATATTTGTATATTTCTATTCATTTTGTTTAAGACATGGATATATATGCACTACTTCATTAATGTTATAGAAAGTGCAAACTAAATCCGGAGCAATAAATCATAAATGAAATGCAAAGCTATTTAGATAATTTTGCATCAACTAAATAACTAAAGTGCGTAAACTATTTACAAAAGTGCATAGCATTTTCAATAAAAGTGCACTGATTCAAATATTTAATACGAAAAATTTGACATACTAAAATTGAAGAATTAAAATTTGTAATCTTGCTAGCCAAATTAAAACACAACACGTCCATACTCTAGAAAATAAGATATGAGGACGTCTCAAGTGGAAATTAGATTTCCTAATTCTCAGGAAACATCCAAAAATATAAACATGCGTGTAACTGTTTTGCTTAGTGCTTTGACATAAGTGCCCTGCCAGCAATTAATGTTCCGAATTCCTTTCTAAACTCATTAATTGTTACCAAAAATCAAGGATCATGACATCTTGATCGTGGCCATTAGATTAATCAAATAATTGGTTAGATTTTATTCTCATTTCTCTCCTAAGAGCTCATTCTCACTGGAACCCTCCCCTATATATATATATATATATATATATATATATGAAATCTTTCCGGTAAGGTATACCTTACCAGAGCCTCCGTGCGGCCTCCGCGTTTTGAGGGCCTTCCCGGTTGAATTTTTTGATGAATTTTTTTGAGCATGTTCGTCATCTAGTCTAGTACATCCATACCAAATTTCAGCAAAAAATTCAATCGGGAAGGAAGTCAAACGATTTTTGGAAGATAACTGCGTTTTATATGTATATAAAGGGTGCAGTTATCTTCCAAAAAATACCTTATCTTCCGGTAAGGTATACCCTATATATATATATATATATATATATATATATATATATATATATATATATATATATATATATATATATATATAGGGTAGAGATCACATACAAATAAGACTTCCCGTACAAAATACAAATTCATCATGTACGTTCAAATTGGACAAATCAAAGGCTATCCATATAATAGACCACTGAAGCATTCCCTATGGTGAAATACATGGAACTAAAAACGGATGGACAACTAATAAGCACAATTAGTAAATAGTAAGCAAGGACAACAAGGTAAATTAACCTTTTAAATTAATGAACCGCATACAAAAGGATATCCCAAGAAATTAGCTAACCCACCACTAAAAGTTCAACCACCCGTGTTTAGCAAATTAAAGAAGGAAAGATAAAAAGTTACGTTGAATGCAACCACCATTATTCCAACCACCCATACATACACGGATTAAGATCGGATTTTTTGCCATCAACAAAGGTTGCAATAAAAGATCCGATTATTCTTGATTTTGGAAATCATTCACTTGTCACTTTTGGGAACTATTCAAAATTTCACAAAAATTAAAGGGACAATATGTACTTGATTTTGGGAATTGTTCACTTCCTAATTAATCTTTCATTTTTTAAACCTAAAATATTAAGGTTATGGAATGTGCATTATATATTGATAACGTGCGCATAATTTATATTAGAACTTCTAACATATTAATTAGTTTGTAAGATGTCAACACGGGATGAAGTGTCTGCACATTAAGGTTACATGATGTACATATTAAGGTTAATGGATGTGCATATTAAGGTTACATGATGCACATTATATATTTACAATGTCTCCATAACTTATATTAGACTACATAGTGATAGCATATGTCTACGTTGCATTTTAGTAGTTAATATCTTGCATTTTATGATTATGACATGTGCATTTTAGAAGCTCATATATTGCTCTTTAGTAAGACGATATGTATACTTTAGATGTTCATACTGCATCTTATCGATGTTGCAAATGCACTCTAGTAGTTCATATGTTGCATTTTATCACTATGGCATGTGTATTTTAGAAGATTTGTTAGAGATATTTTCATTATATTGTGATCAATGTTTCTTAGCTCTTTATATTTAGCATCTTAATTTAATAGATTAGCTAGAATAATGAATAGGCCTTTTAAGGCAATTATGTAATAAAGGTTTTATACCTTTTTAGGTATGGGCCTCCTAGGAAAAGGAGCCCAAATGATTGTAAAACCTACCTTTCCCGTCAGGCTATATATATGCCTTAAGGGAAAGGCTAGGTTAAGCTTTTAAAAACATTCCTAGTGCCGCAGTGCCTAAATCGGTGATAGAAGTTTTACGCTAAATTGTTCATCATTCTGTAAACTTCTTCATCATTCAATGGAAAGCTTCATTCCCAGATCTATCTTCCATACATACATATTCTAGATTAGAAAACAGGGACCTAACATCTGGTATCAGAGCCGGAGCTGATCGATCGATTGAAAGCTGGAAAAACCCACTTGCGCGTTTCTTCACCGTTGAAGTTTCGCACTTGAGCGATCTTCTGTTCTATTTTTATTGTTGTTTTTGCAGGAAAATGGTTGAAGGAAAGTGTTTCTAGGCTTGCTGGGATCACTTCTGTGAAAAATCTCGATCTAAAATTTGGCGTACAGGTCAGGCAGAAGTTGAGCGATTCTGACATTTAGCGCAACTCGCTGGGAAGAAGAACAGGTTCGCGCAACGTGCCATCTGCGCGATTTCAAGCTTCTCAGATTTTGCGCAACGACTCCTGCGCAATCTCAGATTTCGCGCAAACACTCCCTGCGCGATTCTGGACTTGCGCCATCTTCTTTGCAGATAGAGCGATCATCTTGCGCGTTTTCTACTTCACGCAAATACACTTGCGCTATTCTTGACTTGCGCGATTTGGACCTGAGCGATCCTTAAGTTGCGCCATTTTGGACTTGAGAGATTTTCTGGAGTTGAGCGATATTTTTACAAGTTGAGAGATTTTTTTTAAAGTTGAGAGATTGTTTGTTAAGTTGAGAGATTGTTAGTAAAGTTGAGCAATCTTTTGTAAAGTTGAGCGATCTTTTAAGAGTTGAGCGATCTTTTAGAAGTTGAGAGATCTTTTGCTAAGTTGAGCGATCTTTTTATAAGTTGAGCAATCTTTTGTAAACTTGAGCGATCTTTTGTAAAGTTGAGAGATTGTTTGTAAAGTTGAGCGATCTTAGTGAAGTTGAGCGATCCTTCAATACCTTTGACACTTTGCAGCCAGAACAAAGACATCTGACTGAAGACCCAAACAACAAAACAGAACCTATTCAATCAACTGATCAGCCCGATCAAATTTTAAGATGGATGCTTTATCAATCGGAAATGATACAAGACCCCCAATCCTACGAAGGGGTGAGTACAACGTATGGAAGAACAGATTCTTAAATTTTCTTGAAAGCAAGGACCAATCCTCAGGTCTTCTTGACTCTATCACAAATGGACCTGCACAATTGATGATAGCAGTTGAGAGAGATAACGGAAACAATCCACCTGTTGAGATTGAGTGGAGACCAAAGACTGTTGATGAATATGATGACGAGGACAGAGCAAGACTCCGTGCAGATCTCATTGCCAAGACCTACTTGTTGCAGGCCATCCCGAACGACATCTATATGCAGATTGACAGCATGTCAACTGCAAAAGAAATGTGGGATGAGATCTTCAAGATCATGCAAGGCACTGAGATCGGAGTAAAGGCGAAGAAAGCTAGCACATTCACTGCTTACGACTCGTTCAAAGCCAAACTTGGAGAATCACTCGAGGACACCTACCTCAGATTCCTGCAACTGATAAATGAGATGAGAAAGATTGGCGTGCACAAGTCAAACATGGAACTGAACGTGAGATTTCTATCTTCTCTTGGAGCTGACTGGAAGAAGCTGAGCTCACAGATAAGGCACACGAAAGACCTCGATGAAATGGACATTCATGCAGTGTCACGCCCCGGACCGCGTCCGCGCCACGTAGACAACCGCCGTACAACCCAATAAGAACAACGTAGTTCATTCTTATCAGATCATACAAGGCGTCCGTTAGATTCTTTTGCCAAACCGATTAGTAAACCCATACAATCAACATCAATATATATTAGTCAAACAAATGCGGAAAATAAGATATGTTTGATACTTAGCCACACGTGGCAAATACGGGCACGCAGGCCCCCCAAATGTTTTAATAGAAAACATTGTTAAAAATATCCATGAGCAGTTGCATTATTTCAAATGAGAATGGAAGCACGAACCACGTCTTCCTCCTTGATCAATCACCCTAGGCAAAGGTGCAGGTAGTAGGACTCTAGCCTCAACCTGAAAAATGTGAGGGCCCCCGAAGGGGTCAGTACTCCATAGAAGTACTAGTGACAAGCAGGCTATATGAGGAATAACTAATGTTTCAGACACGAGACCCAAAAATAGGGTGATACATATACTTATAGGTGTAACCGTTGTTACCCCGTTCCCAAGATAATACATACTGTATATACTTGTAAAATACTTGATCCGTAGGTCGTTTTATCACAAAGAGTCTTTTAGAGATAAGGTACTTCCCAACCTATCCCTTTTCCATTCCTGAATGCCTAGCTTGAGAGCTACATTCTACCTTCATAATATCCTACCGAGTTTCAGGAGTGTTTACCCTCCCGGGGATGCTCAACCCCACCGAGTTTCTGGGATTGTTTACCGTCCCGAGGATACTCAACCTCACCGAGTTTCTGGGATTGTTTACCGTCCCGAGGATGCTCAACCCCACCGAGTTTCTGGGATTGTTTACCGTCCCGAGGATACTCAACCTCACCGAGTTTCTGGGATTGTTTACCGTCCCGAGGATACTCAACCTCACCGAGTTTCTGGGATTGTTTACCGTCCCGAGGATACTCAACCTCACCGAGTTTCTGGGATTGTTTACCGTCCCGAGGATACTCAACCTCACCGAGTTTTGGGATCATTTACCGTCCCGAGGATGCTCAACCTCACCCTTATTTCTAACCAAACCCTAACCTGGATATGGCTAACCTTTCATTCACTTAACTATGGACAATACCTAGTCCTATAGTCATATAATAATCCTTAGTAACCAACGTGGACGGGTCCCACCTGATCGGTCCACGTTATCCTACTCAAAAGCTACCCGTTTTGAGTATAAACCAATACCCGGTCGGGTATCCACCTTACCCGGTCGGGTAGGACGGGTCAGAAGCCCCTGGAAACAACTTTACTTGAGACCCGGTCGGGTCCATGACCTTACCCGGTCGGGTCTAGTGTGGCAGTGGCTTCTGGAGCCATTTTTAATCAATACCCGGTCGGGTATCCATCTTACCCGGTCGGGTATCACCCTTGTCTCGGCGGTCAACGCCCGTTTGACCGCCCAAACGAAGTCCGATTAACGTGAAATTTTATATGCACATTCTACTTGAAGTCCTTGATCCAAAAATACCATTTTGGACCCCTGGATCATTGTACATAATAAGTTATCACATTTGTAATCACCAAACATACAAACATGCCTTTCAACTTTGTTTTATATATATTCATGGCATAAGCTCATACTTGATTAACTTTAATCATTCCGTAAAACATATCCTTGATTACTTTAGGTAATCTCATGCCTCAATCAAGAGTTATAAGGCATATAGCCGTCTTCTCACCTTAATGAAGCTTATGGAGTTCTAGCCCTTCCCGATTGAGCTCCGGTGAAACTCTGGTGAACTTCAATGAACTCCGGCGACAACTCCGGCAACTCTTTCAACTCCGTGAAAGTTCTTGAAGTACCTTATACAAGTTAATAACAAGGTTTTATCATCATAAAACCCATATCACCACAAATAACCTCCCGAAGGTTATTTTCCGGTGAACCCGTCAACTTGTCTCTCAAGGTTCGTTTTGGGTATAAGCCAACCCTTCAACCCCCATTCTACACTTTTACATGTGTAGAACTATCCTAGGAGTGTGAAATATGATTAAGGAGAAGAAATGGGATTCATGAAGTCCTTACCTTGCTAACCACAAGCTTTCTCCACCCGAAACTCCTCTTTTCTCTTCTCTTTTATCCTCCTTCTTCTTCCTCTTGGTTTGGTGCGTGTATGGAGGATGAAATGGAGTCTTTTGCAGACCTTCTCTCCTCAATGCATCTGGTCTGGACGAGGGACAGGGGCTGGGGTGGTTGTGAATAGCTCTTTTGGCTCATTCATCAATAATATGGGGGAGAGGGACCCCTTTTCCTATCAACTTGGTCTCCAATCACTTCCACCCTCTTTCCCCTTGATATGGTGCGGATCCCCTTGATATTTTGCAGCTCAAGGTCGTGGGGTGGCCCCCACTCATGTGGGAGGTCATCCCTTTATGTCCCCGAGTGTACACTTGGTCCCGAAAGTTGTATTTTCTGGACTGTTTTAGCTATATTTCATTTTATCGGTTCGAATGAAATGTGTATCATTCTTCCAACTATTATTGGCCATTAGATTGAATGTATATTCCCCAACTTTTAATTTGATGGTCTCCATAATTTATTATGGCTTTTTATCTGATATCACTTCGGTACCGATAAATGAGCTTTATATGCCCAAAAGGTTACTCACATAACTTCTATGGCCCAACCCGGCTATCCACCATTATACACATATTATCTTGACCCAAATGAATATAATATGTGGTCCCGATAATATCGGGCGGCCCCCACTTCCGGTGTGGGCCCCACGTGAATTTTACTATTCACGTAAAAGAAATGATAAAATTTCACAATCACGTAAAATGCGTTTATTCATTTCTTGGGTTCCATACATAATTTGATAAAGTACAAATACTTGGGGGCGGTGTTACAAGTTCTACCCCCCTTATTTGGGATTTCGTCCCCGAAATCCACGTGTCTAGTCAAACAGAAATGGATATTGTTCCCTCATCAGGGTCTCCACTTCCCAAGTTTGCTCCTCTACACGATCACTCTTCCAAAGTACCTTCACCGTCGGTACCTCTTTGCTCCTTAGCTTCTTTACCTGTCGGTCCATGATCTTTACCGGCTGCACCGCATAGTGAAGGTCTTCCCGGATTTCCACCGGTGGTTTCTCAAGAATATGTGACGGGTCCCGTACATACTTCTTGAGCATAGAAACATGAAATACATTATGAATCTTTTCTAACTCTGGAGTTAATTGAAGTCGATACGCCACAACCCCAATCCTTTCCATGATTTTGAATGGGCCGATGTAACGTGGGTTAAGCTTACCCCGACTAAGGAACCTGATGATCCCTTTCCAAGGCGACACCCTCAGAAATACCTCATCGCCGACCTCGAACTCCAATGTCCTTCGTCGTTTATCTGCATAGCTCTTCTGCCGATCTTGGGCAGCCTTTAGTCTATCCCGGATAACCTTCACCTTCTCCTTAGTGATCTCAACTAGCTCAGTACCCTCGAGCCTGGCCTCGCCAACCTCATCCCAACATAAAGGTGTCCGACATTTCCTCCCATACAATGCCTCGTATGGAGGCATGCCTATACTTGCCTGATAACTGTTGTTATAGGCGAATTCTACTAAAGCCAACTGGTTGTCCCAACTTCCTTGGAACTCTAAGGCACATGCCCTCAACATGTCCTCCAAAATCTGAATCACCCGTTCAGATTGCCCATCCGTTTGAGGATGGAAAGCTGTGCTAAACCTCAACTTTGTTCCCATGGATTCCTGGAACTTAGGCCAAAACCTTGATGTGAACCGTGGGTCTCTATCCGACACTATAGTAACCGGAACCCCATGCAGTCTCACGATCTCATCTGTATACAACTTGGCCAGTCGCTCAAGCGTATAAGTAGTGTTGATAGGTAGGAAATGAGCACTTTTGGTCAGCCTATCAACCACCACCCATACTGCGTCGTAGTTCCTAACCGTCCGTGGCAGACCTACCACAAAGTCCATAGTAACATGCTCCCACTTCCATTCTGGGATGGTAAGTGGCTGTAATAACCCTGCCGGGTGCTGGTGCTCTGCCTTAACCTGCTGACAGGTAAGGCAACGACTCACATATTCAGCAATCTCTCTCTTCATCCCCGACCACCAGTATCTTTCCTTCAAGTCCCGGTACATCTTTGTTCCACCTGGGTGCATGGCATACGCAGATGAGTGAGCCTCCTCAAGAATAGATTTTCGGAGCTCCTCATCTGACGGCACACACACTCGCTCCTTGAATAGTAGGAGTCCATCCTCTCTCTCACGGAAACCCTCGACGGGTCCCACCAGCATCCATTCCCGGATTTTCTGAATTTCCTCGTCATTGCCTTGACGCGTTCTGATTTCGTCTAATAGGGTGGGTCTCACCTCAAATCTGGCCAATAAGGCCCCATTCGTGGATACCTCCACGTGTGCCCTCAATGCTCGTAAGCATGTGAGTAAGACTCCTGATGAACTTTTCCTACTGAGAGCATCAGCAACCACGTTAGCCTTCCCTGGATGATAATCTATGATCAAGTTGTAATCCTTGATTAACTCCATCCATCTTCTCTGCCTCATGTTCAACTCTTTCTGAGTGAACACGTACTTCAAACTTTTGTGATCAGTATAGATGTGACACACCTCACCGTAAAGGTAATGCCTCCAAATCTTCAAAGCAAATACCACAGCTCCTAGCTCAAGGTCATGTGTGGGGTAATTCACTTCATGCTTCCTCAGTTGCCGAGAAGCATAAGCAATTACCTTCCCCGATTGCATCAGTACGCACCCAAGCCCCTGGATGCTAGCATCGCTATAGATGTCATACCCCAACCCTTGCACGGGTAGAGCAAGTACTGGTGCTTCAGTCAACCGTTTCTTTAGCTCAAGAAACCCCTTCTCACACTTGTCATCCCACACAAACTTAGCTCCCTTTTTGGTGAGCTTCGTGAGTGGAGATGCTATTACGGAGAACTTCTCCACGAATTTGCGGTAATACCCCGCCAAACCAAGGAAACTCCTTATTTCCTTCACATTCTTGGGCCTCTCCCAATTAGTGACTGCTTCAATCTTCAAGTTATCAACTGAAATGCCCGAACCTGATACCACGTGCCCGAGAAAACCGATCTCCCCAAGCCAAAATTCACACTTAGAGAATTTGGCAAAGAGTTGCTTCTCCCGCAGTGTTCCAAGTACGAGCCTTAGATGTTTCTCGTGTTCTTCTTCGTTCTTGGAGTATATCAAAATGTCATCAATGAACACTATGACGAATTGGTCCAAGTATTGATGAAATACCCGGTTCATGAGGTCCATGAATGCCGCGGGGGCATTTGTAAGCCCGAACGACATCACTAGGAACTCATAGTGACCATACCTTGTACGGAATGCACTTTTGGGTATGTCACTCTCCTTGATCTTTAGTTGATGGTATCCCGACCTCAAGTCGATCTTGGAGAACACGGTTGCCCCCCGCAATTGATCAAACAAGTCGTCAATCCTTGGCAAAGGATATTTGTTCTTTATCGTGACCTTGTTCAATTGACGGTAGTCGATACACATTCTCATTGTGCCATCCTTCTTCTTTACAAAGAGTACAGGTGCTCCCCATGGTGAATGACTTGGTCTAATGAACCCGTTATCTAGTAACTCTTCCAATTGAACTTTCAACTCTTGAAGTTCAGCCGGTGCCATTCGATACGGAGGAATTGAGATGGGTTTGGTGCCTGGTTCAATCTCGATCTCAAACTCGATCTCCCGATCGGGTGGGAGTCCCGGTAGCTCTTCAGGGAACACCTCCGGATACTCGCTCACCACCTTCACTTCCGTGATACTCTTCCCTTTGCCTTCCTTGCCTATGACATAGGCTAAGTAAGCTTGACATCCCTTCCTCATCATACGCCTTGCTCTTATGGTCGATATGATGCAAGGATTGAATTTTCCTCTATCTCCCTTGAAACATACAGTATTTCCTTCACCATCCTTGAGTTCTAACACCTTGGTGTAGCAATCTACCTTTGCATGGTGCTTTTCAAGCCAATCCATGCCAAGTATGGCATCAAACTCAAGCATGGCTAGTGGTACGAAGTCCCCCTTTAGACAGTGCTCCCCTATCTCCACATCACATGAAGGATAGTAGTCATTTCGTTCGACGTCATCCCCTAGAGGCGTAGACACCAATAGGGTTTGCGTCATTGGTGTTAAAGATGTGCCTAAATCCATGGCAAACACCTCACTAACGAATGAACGTTGTGCTCCCGTATCGATAAGGATCCTCGCATCCCTTCCATTAATCTTTAACGTTCCTACATTTATAAGTCATGTAAGGTACTTTGCCTACCAAAATTGAATTGTAGGCCCCCGAAAAAGTCCGTACTTAAAAATATATAGCAATACCCGGTCGGGTACAGCTTCGTACCCGGTCGGGTATCCAATCCAGAGACATCCCTCTTGTTATACCCGGTCTGGTAACACCAACGGGTATGGAAATTTGGCAAACCCGGTCGGGTAACCTGATGTACCCGGTCGGGTATCCATTCCAGAAGCCGGCGGGTATAAAATTCCATCATACCCGGGCGGGTAGCCTACTATACCCAGTCAGGTATCCGTTCCAGTGGGTTTACCAGGCCAGAATCTCGGTAGACCCGGTCGGGTGACCCGTCTTACCCGGTCGGGTATCAGCCCGGTTTCGTTGAATTTCCCCCGATTCGACCCTAAGTCAGTTTGCAATTGACCCCTAGGACTTATAACTTTAATATAAGCCTAGAAACATATAAGGTCTAGTACATTACCTGCAACAGAGTCCGGGTTTGCTCGCGCATCCGCCTCGGTCATTGCATACACACGTGCCTGGGTCCTCCCTTGGTTAACGGACGCGGCATTGCTCGCCGTAGGTCCGCCCCTTCCCGTGCCGGCCTGTGATGGTCCCGCACGTCCCCTACTAGCCGTAGGTCCTTCCATAGCCCCCGATGGTCCCCCTCCATTCAACATTGGGCAAGAAAGCTTGAGGTGACTAGTACTACCACACTTGTAGCACCGGGGTGGTGCATTGCATTTCCCGGCATGATTCTTGTTACAGTTTAGACACCTCGGTGGCCTTACGCTTTCCGAGCTGTGCCCTTGCCCTCCTGGACCCTTGCTCTTCTTTGCCGGTGGTTCCGGCGCCCTAAATGAACTTCCATTCCCGGCGTGATGTTTCCGAGAATGGTCTTGGGGTCCAGAATTTCCCCATCTCCTCTTCTTCGCCTCTTCGGCGTCTCTCTTCTTCCTTTCATTCCACTTGGCTTCCCCAAGTAGCCCTTGATCCACAATCTCACTAAAGGTCATGTGATGATTGTAGGTGGCCCTATCACGGATATCCAACTGTAGGGTATCCCAGAAGTGATTAGCCATGCGGTTCTCATCCATGGCGTACTCAGGTATGTATCGTGCCAAGTCCCGGAACCTCTGTTCCAATTGCCTTACCGAGCACCCATCCTCCTGTGTCAAAGTCATGTATTCCTTCCTTTTCTGATTCTTCTCAAATTCGGAGTAGTACTGGTTATAGAACTCTACTTCGAATCTCTCCCAGGTGGTCTCACCGTGGAACTTTCCTTCCACGCCTTCCCACCATACAGCAGCTACCCCCTCCAGTAGCCTGGTAGCAATCGTTAGCTTTATATCAAGCCCGATCTGCATATCCCTAGCAGCCTCGTTCAGTTTCTTGATCCAATCAGCAGCCACAGATATGTCGCCTTTGCCATCAAATGACTTACACCCCAAGGCCCTAGCCTCCTTGAGGTATTTGGAGACTCTTACACAAAAACCTCCGCCCTGTACTCCCTGTGACGCCACAGGTGTAGCCACGGATGCCCCCCGGCTCCCGTGACCTGAAGCCCCCTGAGAGGCACGCCTAGCTTGGCGCCTAAGATCTCGCCTCAGCTTTTCCTTTTGATACCACTCAAACAATTCACACATCTGGGCGAATTTGGCATCACTCTCATCATTGTCATCATCATCGGTGTACGTATCACCCCCATCATATGGGGTCTCCTCATGTTCCGTCTCGGGAACATATGTAGAGTCGTAATCCTCGGTGTGAGTCCCATGCACCGAGCTAACATGGCCATCGCTCACGGTTTGAGCCCGATGACCTCCCCGGCCTCCACGGCCTCCACGGCCTCCACGGCCTCTCCTACCGCCTCTCGCGCCCCGAGATGCAACCTGGCTAACCCCTTCGGACGTCACCGGAGTTTGCCCTCTCGGGTTGTTCCTCGTACCCATGCGTCTACCCTCCATTTCTGAAAGAAATTTGGAATGAGCCGTTAGACTCGTATCAATGTCGATTGACGGAATAGTACAAAAGACACCACTTGGTCCAACATTATGGCCAACAAACTGTTAAGGGTACCGTCTTAACAATAAGAGGTCAATAATTTGGTTTCCAACGGTTCCTTAAGTACAAAAACTTTTGCTCATGGTTTTGTTCAAAACTTTTTGATGATCCTATATTGAGAGGTTAATTATATAGTTTAGAAAAACCTGGCTCTGATACCACTTAATTGTCACGCCCCGGACCGCGTCCGCGCCACGTAGACAACCGCCGTACAACCCAATAAGAACAACGTAGTTCATTCTTATCAGATCATACAAGGCGTCCGTTAGATTCTTTTGCCAAACCGATTAGTAAACCCATACAATCAACATCAATATATATTAGTCAAACAAATGCGGAAAATAAGATATGTTTGATACTTAGCCACACGTGGCAAATACGGGCACGCAGGCCCCCCAAATGTTTTAATAGAAAACATTGTTAAAAATATCCATGAGCAGTTGCATTATTTCAAATGAGAATGGAAGCACGAACCACGTCTTCCTCCTTGATCAATCACCCTAGGCAAAGGTGCAGGTAGTAGGACTCTAGCCTCAACCTGAAAAATGTGAGGGCCCCCGAAGGGGTCAGTACTCCATAGAAGTACTAGTGACAAGCAGGCTATATGAGGAATAACTAATGTTTCAGACACGAGACCCAAAAATAGGGTGATACATATACTTATAGGTGTAACCGTTGTTACCCCCGTTCCCAAGATAATACATACTGTATATACTTGTAAAATACTTGATCCGTAGGTCGTTTTATCACAAAGAGTCTTTTAGAGATAAGGTACTTCCCAACCTATCCCTTTTCCATTCCTGAATGCCTAGCTTGAGAGCTACATTCTACCTTCATAATATCCTACCGAGTTTCAGGAGTGTTTACCCTCCCGGGGATGCTCAACCCCACCGAGTTTCTGGGATTGTTTACCGTCCCGAGGATACTCAACCTCACCGAGTTTCTGGGATTGTTTACCGTCCCGAGGATGCTCAACCCCACCGAGTTTCTGGGATTGTTTACCGTCCCGAGGATACTCAACCTCACCGAGTTTCTGGGATTGTTTACCGTCCCGAGGATACTCAACCTCACCGAGTTTCTGGGATTGTTTACCGTCCCGAGGATACTCAACCTCACCGAGTTTCTGGGATTGTTTACCGTCCCGAGGATACTCAACCTCACCGAGTTTTGGGATCATTTACCGTCCCGAGGATGCTCAACCTCACCCTTATTTCTAACCAAACCCTAACCTGGATATGGCTAACCTTTCATTCACTTAACTATGGACAATACCTAGTCCTATAGTCATATAATAATCCTTAGTAACCAACGTGGACGGGTCCCACCTGATCGGTCCACGTTATCCTACTCAAAAGCTACCCGTTTTGAGTATAAACCAATACCCGGTCGGGTATCCACCTTACCCGGTCGGGTAGGACGGGTCAGAAGCCCCTGGAAACAACTTTACTTGAGACCCGGTCGGGTCCATGACCTTACCCGGTCGGGTCTAGTGTGGCAGTGGCTTCTGGAGCCATTTTTAATCAATACCCGGTCGGGTATCCATCTTACCCGGTCGGGTATCACCCTTGTCTCGGCGGTCAACGCCCGTTTGACCGCCCAAACGAAGTCCGATTAACGTGAAATTTTATATGCACATTCTACTTGAAGTCCTTGATCCAAAAATACCATTTTGGACCCCTGGATCATTGTACATAATAAGTTATCACATTTGTAATCACCAAACATACAAACATGCCTTTCAACTTTGTTTTATATATATTCATGGCATAAGCTCATACTTGATTAACTTTAATCATTCCGTAAAACATATCCTTGATTACTTTAGGTAATCTCATGCCTCAATCAAGAGTTATAAGGCATATAGCCGTCTTCTCACCTTAATGAAGCTTATGGAGTTCTAGCCCTTCCCGATTGAGCTCCGGTGAAACTCTGGTGAACTTCAATGAACTCCGGCGACAACTCCGGCAACTCTTTCAACTCCGTGAAAGTTCTTGAAGTACCTTATACAAGTTAATAACAAGGTTTTATCATCATAAAACCCATATCACCACAAATAACCTCCCGAAGGTTATTTTCCGGTGAACCCGTCAACTTGTCTCTCAAGGTTCGTTTTGGGTATAAGCCAACCCTTCAACCCCCATTCTACACTTTTACATGTGTAGAACTATCCTAGGAGTGTGAAATATGATTAAGGAGAAGAAATGGGATTCATGAAGTCCTTACCTTGCTAACCACAAGCTTTCTCCACCCGAAACTCCTCTTTTCTCTTCTCTTTTATCCTCCTTCTTCTTCCTCTTGGTTTGGTGCGTGTATGGAGGATGAAATGGAGTCTTTTGCAGACCTTCTCTCCTCAATGCATCTGGTCTGGACGAGGGACAGGGGCTGGGGTGGTTGTGAATAGCTCTTTTGGCTCATTCATCAATAATATGGGGGAGAGGGACCCCTTTTCCTATCAACTTGGTCTCCAATCACTTCCACCCTCTTTCCCCTTGATATGGTGCGGATCCCCTTGATATTTTGCAGCTCAAGGTCGTGGGGTGGCCCCCACTCATGTGGGAGGTCATCCCTTTATGTCCCCGAGTGTACACTTGGTCCCGAAAGTTGTATTTTCTGGACTGTTTTAGCTATATTTCATTTTATCGGTTCGAATGAAATGTGTATCATTCTTCCAACTATTATTGGCCATTAGATTGAATGTATATTCCCCAACTTTTAATTTGATGGTCTCCATAATTTATTATGGCTTTTTATCTGATATCACTTCGGTACCGATAAATGAGCTTTATATGCCCAAAAGGTTACTCACATAACTTCTATGGCCCAACCCGGCTATCCACCATTATACACATATTATCTTGACCCAAATGAATATAATATGTGGTCCCGATAATATCGGGCGGCCCCCACTTCCGGTGTGGGCCCCACGTGAATTTTACTATTCACGTAAAAGAAATGATAAAATTTCACAATCACGTAAAATGCGTTTATTCATTTCTTGGGTTCCATACATAATTTGATAAAGTACAAATACTTGGGGGCGGTGTTACAAGTTCTACCCCCCTTATTTGGGATTTCGTCCCCGAAATCCACGTGTCTAGTCAAACAGAAATGGATATTGTTCCCTCATCAGGGTCTCCACTTCCCAAGTTTGCTCCTCTACACGATCACTCTTCCAAAGTACCTTCACCGTCGGTACCTCTTTGCTCCTTAGCTTCTTTACCTGTCGGTCCATGATCTTTACCGGCTGCACCGCATAGTGAAGGTCTTCCCGGATTTCCACCGGTGGTTTCTCAAGAATATGTGACGGGTCCCGTACATACTTCTTGAGCATAGAAACATGAAATACATTATGAATCTTTTCTAACTCTGGAGTTAATTGAAGTCGATACGCCACAACCCCAATCCTTTCCATGATTTTGAATGGGCCGATGTAACGTGGGTTAAGCTTACCCCGACTAAGGAACCTGATGATCCCTTTCCAAGGCGACACCCTCAGAAATACCTCATCGCCGACCTCGAACTCCAATGTCCTTCGTCGTTTATCTGCATAGCTCTTCTGCCGATCTTGGGCAGCCTTTAGTCTATCCCGGATAACCTTCACCTTCTCCTTAGTGATCTCAACTAGCTCAGTACCCTCGAGCCTGGCCTCGCCAACCTCATCCCAACATAAAGGTGTCCGACATTTCCTCCCATACAATGCCTCGTATGGAGGCATGCCTATACTTGCCTGATAACTGTTGTTATAGGCGAATTCTACTAAAGCCAACTGGTTGTCCCAACTTCCTTGGAACTCTAAGGCACATGCCCTCAACATGTCCTCCAAAATCTGAATCACCCGTTCAGATTGCCCATCCGTTTGAGGATGGAAAGCTGTGCTAAACCTCAACTTTGTTCCCATGGATTCCTGGAACTTAGGCCAAAACCTTGATGTGAACCGTGGGTCTCTATCCGACACTATAGTAACCGGAACCCCATGCAGTCTCACGATCTCATCTGTATACAACTTGGCCAGTCGCTCAAGCGTATAAGTAGTGTTGATAGGTAGGAAATGAGCACTTTTGGTCAGCCTATCAACCACCACCCATACTGCGTCGTAGTTCCTAACCGTCCGTGGCAGACCTACCACAAAGTCCATAGTAACATGCTCCCACTTCCATTCTGGGATGGTAAGTGGCTGTAATAACCCTGCCGGGTGCTGGTGCTCTGCCTTAACCTGCTGACAGGTAAGGCAACGACTCACATATTCAGCAATCTCTCTCTTCATCCCCGACCACCAGTATCTTTCCTTCAAGTCCCGGTACATCTTTGTTCCACCTGGGTGCATGGCATACGCAGATGAGTGAGCCTCCTCAAGAATAGATTTTCGGAGCTCCTCATCTGACGGCACACACACTCGCTCCTTGAATAGTAGGAGTCCATCCTCTCTCTCACGGAAACCCTCGACGGGTCCCACCAGCATCCATTCCCGGATTTTCTGAATTTCCTCGTCATTGCCTTGACGCGTTCTGATTTCGTCTAATAGGGTGGGTCTCACCTCAAATCTGGCCAATAAGGCCCCATTCGTGGATACCTCCACGTGTGCCCTCAATGCTCGTAAGCATGTGAGTAAGACTCCTGATGAACTTTTCCTACTGAGAGCATCAGCAACCACGTTAGCCTTCCCTGGATGATAATCTATGATCAAGTTGTAATCCTTGATTAACTCCATCCATCTTCTCTGCCTCATGTTCAACTCTTTCTGAGTGAACACGTACTTCAAACTTTTGTGATCAGTATAGATGTGACACACCTCACCGTAAAGGTAATGCCTCCAAATCTTCAAAGCAAATACCACAGCTCCTAGCTCAAGGTCATGTGTGGGGTAATTCACTTCATGCTTCCTCAGTTGCCGAGAAGCATAAGCAATTACCTTCCCCGATTGCATCAGTACGCACCCAAGCCCCTGGATGCTAGCATCGCTATAGATGTCATACCCCAACCCTTGCACGGGTAGAGCAAGTACTGGTGCTTCAGTCAACCGTTTCTTTAGCTCAAGAAACCCCTTCTCACACTTGTCATCCCACACAAACTTAGCTCCCTTTTTGGTGAGCTTCGTGAGTGGAGATGCTATTACGGAGAACTTCTCCACGAATTTGCGGTAATACCCCGCCAAACCAAGGAAACTCCTTATTTCCTTCACATTCTTGGGCCTCTCCCAATTAGTGACTGCTTCAATCTTCAAGTTATCAACTGAAATGCCCGAACCTGATACCACGTGCCCGAGAAAACCGATCTCCCCAAGCCAAAATTCACACTTAGAGAATTTGGCAAAGAGTTGCTTCTCCCGCAGTGTTCCAAGTACGAGCCTTAGATGTTTCTCGTGTTCTTCTTCGTTCTTGGAGTATATCAAAATGTCATCAATGAACACTATGACGAATTGGTCCAAGTATTGATGAAATACCCGGTTCATGAGGTCCATGAATGCCGCGGGGGCATTTGTAAGCCCGAACGACATCACTAGGAACTCATAGTGACCATACCTTGTACGGAATGCACTTTTGGGTATGTCACTCTCCTTGATCTTTAGTTGATGGTATCCCGACCTCAAGTCGATCTTGGAGAACACGGTTGCCCCCCGCAATTGATCAAACAAGTCGTCAATCCTTGGCAAAGGATATTTGTTCTTTATCGTGACCTTGTTCAATTGACGGTAGTCGATACACATTCTCATTGTGCCATCCTTCTTCTTTACAAAGAGTACAGGTGCTCCCCATGGTGAATGACTTGGTCTAATGAACCCGTTATCTAGTAACTCTTCCAATTGAACTTTCAACTCTTGAAGTTCAGCCGGTGCCATTCGATACGGAGGAATTGAGATGGGTTTGGTGCCTGGTTCAATCTCGATCTCAAACTCGATCTCCCGATCGGGTGGGAGTCCCGGTAGCTCTTCAGGGAACACCTCCGGATACTCGCTCACCACCTTCACTTCCGTGATACTCTTCCCTTTGCCTTCCTTGCCTATGACATAGGCTAAGTAAGCTTGACATCCCTTCCTCATCATACGCCTTGCTCTTATGGTCGATATGATGCAAGGATTGAATTTTCCTCTATCTCCCTTGAAACATACAGTATTTCCTTCACCATCCTTGAGTTCTAACACCTTGGTGTAGCAATCTACCTTTGCATGGTGCTTTTCAAGCCAATCCATGCCAAGTATGGCATCAAACTCAAGCATGGCTAGTGGTACGAAGTCCCCCTTTAGACAGTGCTCCCCTATCTCCACATCACATGAAGGATAGTAGTCATTTCGTTCGACGTCATCCCCTAGAGGCGTAGACACCAATAGGGTTTGCGTCATTGGTGTTAAAGATGTGCCTAAATCCATGGCAAACACCTCACTAACGAATGAACGTTGTGCTCCCGTATCGATAAGGATCCTCGCATCCCTTCCATTAATCTTTAACGTTCCTACATTTATAAGTCATGTAAGGTACTTTGCCTACCAAAATTGAATTGTAGGCCCCCGAAAAAGTCCGTACTTAAAAATATATAGCAATACCCGGTCGGGTACAGCTTCGTACCCGGTCGGGTATCCAATCCAGAGACATCCCTCTTGTTATACCCGGTCTGGTAACACCAACGGGTATGGAAATTTGGCAAACCCGGTCGGGTAACCTGATGTACCCGGTCGGGTATCCATTCCAGAAGCCGGCGGGTATAAAATTCCATCATACCCGGGCGGGTAGCCTACTATACCCAGTCAGGTATCCGTTCCAGTGGGTTTACCAGGCCAGAATCTCGGTAGACCCGGTCGGGTGACCCGTCTTACCCGGTCGGGTATCAGCCCGGTTTCGTTGAATTTCCCCCGATTCGACCCTAAGTCAGTTTGCAATTGACCCCTAGGACTTATAACTTTAATATAAGCCTAGAAACATATAAGGTCTAGTACATTACCTGCAACAGAGTCCGGGTTTGCTCGCGCATCCGCCTCGGTCATTGCATACACACGTGCCTGGGTCCTCCCTTGGTTAACGGACGCGGCATTGCTCGCCGTAGGTCCGCCCCTTCCCGTGCCGGCCTGTGATGGTCCCGCACGTCCCCTACTAGCCGTAGGTCCTTCCATAGCCCCCGATGGTCCCCCTCCATTCAACATTGGGCAAGAAAGCTTGAGGTGACTAGTACTACCACACTTGTAGCACCGGGGTGGTGCATTGCATTTCCCGGCATGATTCTTGTTACAGTTTAGACACCTCGGTGGCCTTACGCTTTCCGAGCTGTGCCCTTGCCCTCCTGGACCCTTGCTCTTCTTTGCCGGTGGTTCCGGCGCCCTAAATGAACTTCCATTCCCGGCGTGATGTTTCCGAGAATGGTCTTGGGGTCCAGAATTTCCCCATCTCCTCTTCTTCGCCTCTTCGGCGTCTCTCTTCTTCCTTTCATTCCACTTGGCTTCCCCAAGTAGCCCTTGATCCACAATCTCACTAAAGGTCATGTGATGATTGTAGGTGGCCCTATCACGGATATCCAACTGTAGGGTATCCCAGAAGTGATTAGCCATGCGGTTCTCATCCATGGCGTACTCAGGTATGTATCGTGCCAAGTCCCGGAACCTCTGTTCCAATTTCCTTACCGAGCACCCATCCTCCTGTGTCAAAGTCATGTATTCCTTCCTTTTCTGATTCTTCTCAAATTCGGAGTAGTACTGGTTATAGAACTCTACTTCGAATCTCTCCCAGGTGGTCTCACCGTGGAACTTTCCTTCCACGCCTTCCCACCATACAGCAGCTACCCCCTCCAGTAGCCTGGTAGCAATCGTTAGCTTTATATCAAGCCCGATCTGCATATCCCTAGCAGCCTCGTTCAGTTTCTTGATCCAATCAGCAGCCACAGATATGTCGCCTTTGCCATCAAATGACTTACACCCCAAGGCCCTAGCCTCCTTGAGGTATTTGGAGACTCTTACACAAAAACCTCCGCCCTGTACTCCCTGTGACGCCACAGGTGTAGCCACGGATGCCCCCCGGCTCCCGTGACCTGAAGCCCCCTGAGAGGCACGCCTAGCTTGGCGCCTAAGATCTCGCCTCAGCTTTTCCTTTTGATACCACTCAAACAATTCACACATCTGGGCGAATTTGGCATCACTCTCATCATTGTCATCATCATCGGTGTACGTATCACCCCCATCATATGGGGTCTCCTCATGTTCCGTCTCGGGAACATATGTAGAGTCGTAATCCTCGGTGTGAGTCCCATGCACCGAGCTAACATGGCCATCGCTCACGGTTTGAGCCCGATGACCTCCCCGGCCTCCACGGCCTCCACGGCCTCCACGGCCTCTCCTACCGCCTCTCGCGCCCCGAGATGCAACCTGGCTAACCCCTTCGGACGTCACCGGAGTTTGCCCTCTCGGGTTGTTCCTCGTACCCATGCGTCTACCCTCCATTTCTGAAAGAAATTTGGAATGAGCCGTTAGACTCGTATCAATGTCGATTGACGGAATAGTACAAAAGACACCACTTGGTCCAACATTATGGCCAACAAACTGTTAAGGGTACCGTCTTAACAATACGAGGTCAATAATTTGGTTTCCAACGGTTCCTTAAGTACAAAAACTTTTGCTCATGGTTTTGTTCAAAACTTTTTGATGATCCTATATTGAGAGGTTAATTATATAGTTTAGAAAAACCTGGCTCTGATACCACTTAATTGTCACGCCCCGGACCGCGTCCGCGCCACGTAGACAACCGCCGTACAACCCAATAAGAACAACGTAGTTCATTCTTATCAGATCATACAAGGCGTCCGTTAGATTCTTTTGCCAAACCGATTAGTAAACCCATACAATCAACATCAATATATATTAGTCAAAACAAATGCGGAAAATAAGATATGTTTGATACTTAGCCACACGTGGCAAATACGGGCACGCAGGCCCCCCCAAATGTTTTAATAGAAAACATTGTTAAAAATATCCATGAGCAGTTGCATTATTTCAAATGAGAATGGAAGCACGAACCACGTCTTCCTCCTTGATCAATCACCCTAGGCAAAGGTGCAGGTAGTAGGACTCTAGCCTCAACCTGAAAAATGTGAGGGCCCCCGAAGGGGTCAGTACTCCATAGAAGTACTAGTGACAAGCAGGCTATATGAGGAATAACTAATGTTTCAGACACGAGACCCAAAAATAGGGTGATACATATACTTATAGGTGTAACCGTTGTTACCCCCGTTCCCAAGATAATACATACTGTATATACTTGTAAAATACTTGATCCGTAGGTCGTTTTATCACAAAGAGTCTTTTAGAGATAAGGTACTTCCCAACCTATCCCTTTTCCATTCCTGAATGCCTAGCTTGAGAGCTACATTCTACCTTCATAATATCCTACCGAGTTTCAGGAGTGTTTACCCTCCCGGGGATGCTCAACCCCCACCGAGTTTCTGGGATTGTTTACCGTCCCGAGGATACTCAACCTCACCGAGTTTCTGGGATTGTTTACCGTCCCGAGGATGCTCAACCCCACCGAGTTTCTGGGATTGTTTACCGTCCCGAGGATACTCAACCTCACCGAGTTTCTGGGATTGTTTACCGTCCCGAGGATACTCAACCTCACCGAGTTTCTGGGATTGTTTACCGTCCCGAGGATACTCAACCTCACCGAGTTTCTGGGATTGTTTACCGTCCCGAGGATACTCAACCTCACCGGAGTTTTGGGATCATTTACCGTCCCGAGGATGCTACAACCTCACCCTTATTTCTAACCAAACCCTAACCTGGATATGGCTAACCTTTCATTCACTTAACTATGGACAATACCTAGTCCTATAGTCATATAATAATCCTTAGTAACCAACGTGGACGGGTCCCACCTGATCGGTCCACGTTATCCTACTCAAAAGCTACCCGTTTTGAGTATAAACCAATACCTCGGTCGGGTATCCACCTTACCCCGGTCGGGAGTAGGACGGGTCAGAAGCCCCTGGAAACAACTTTACTTGAGACCCGGTCGGGTCCATGACCTTACCGTCTAGTGTGGCAGTGGCTTCTGGAGCCATTTTTAATCAATACCCGGTCGGGTATCCATCTTACCCGGTCGGGTATCACCCTTGTCTCGGTGGTCAACGCCCGTTTGACCGCCCAAACGAAGTCCGATTAACGTGAAATTTTATATGCACATTCTACTTGAAGTCCTTGATCCAAAAATACCATTTTTGACCCCTGGATCATTGTACATAATAAGTTATCACATTTGTAATCACCAAACATACAAACATGCCTTTCAACTTTGTTTTATATATATTCATGGCATAAGCTCATACTTGATTAACTTTAATCATTCCGTAAAACATATCCTTGATTACTTTAGGTAATCTCATGCCTCAATCAAGAGTTATAAGGCATATAGCCGTCTTCTCACCTTAATGAAGCTTATGGAGTTCTAGCCCTTCCCGATTGAGCTCCGGTGAAACTCCGGTGAACTTCAATGAACTCCGGCGACAACTCCGGCAACTCTTTCAACTCCGTGAAAGTTCTTGAAGTACCTTATACAAGTTAATAACAAGGTTTTATCATCATAAAACCCATATCACCACAAATAACCTCCCGAAGGTTATTTTCCGGTGAACCCGTCAACTTGTCTCTCAAGGTTCGTTTTGGGTATAAGCCAACCCTTCAACCCCCATTCTACACTTTTACATGTGTAGAACTATCCTAGGAGTGTGAAATATGATTAAGGAGAAGAAATGGGATTCATGAAGTCCTTACCTTGCTAACCACAAGCTTTCTCCACCCGAAACTCCTCTTTTCTCTTCTCTTTTATCCTCCTTCTTCTTCCTCTTGGTTTGGTGCGTGTATGGAGGATGAAATGGAGTCTTTTGCAGACCTTCTCTCCTCAATGCATCTGGTCTGGACGAGGGACAGGGGCTGGGGTGGTTGTGAATAGCTCTTTTGGCTCATTCATCAATAATATGGGGGAGAGGGACCCCTTTTCCTATCAACTTGGTCTCCAATCACTTCCACCCTCTTTCCCCTTGATATGGTGCGGATCCCCTTGATATTTTGCAGCTCAAGGTCGTGGGGTGGCCCCCACTCATGTGGGGGGTCATCCCTTTATGTCCCCGAGTGTACACTTGGTCCCGAAAGTTGTATTTTCTGGACTGTTTTAGCTATATTTCATTTTATCGGTTCGAATGAAATGTGTATCATTCTTCCAACTATTATTGGCCATTAGATTGAATGTATATTCCCCAACTTTTAATTTGATGGTCTCCATAATTTATTATGGCTTTTTATCTGATATCACTTCGGTACCGATAAATGGGCTTTATATGCCCAAAAGGTTACTCACATAACTTCTATGGCCCAACCCGGCTATCCACCATTATACACATATTATCTTGACCCAAATGAATATAATATGTGGTCCCGATAATATCGGGCGGCCCCCACTTCCGGTGTGGGCCCCACGTGAATTTTACTATTCACGTAAAAGAAATGATAAAATTTCACAATCACGTAAAATGCGTTTATTCATTTCTTGGG